ATGTTGTCAAGATGACAGTAATAACCTTGTGAGTGGTCTCGGTGCTCTGCCCTTTACACCTACAGTCTTATCACAGCAGCCAGAGTGATCCTGTTTTAACACAAGTCCTTGTACTCTCCTCGAAACCCAAAACATAGCTCCCATTTCCCTCAGGGTAAATGCCAAAGTCCTTACAGTGACTAGGCCTTGATGATCAAGCCCACTTTAGAATCTCTGTCCCTTCTCTCCTTCTACTCTCCTCCTTGTCCACCCCACGGACAAGTGCTCCTTAATCGTGAAACGTGCATCCACCTCAGGGCTTTTGCACTGGCTCGGAGTTCTCTCTGCCTGGAATATATGATAAGTGAATAGGGGTGTAATTTGGGGGACCTAGAGAGACTCTAGGAAAGTTGCTGTGTCAGCAGTGTGTAGAAATGATGGAAGGAGTGTGAGAGATTGGGCAGGGAAGTCATTCATCCATTTTTTTTTTTTTAAAGCAACATGTTTAATTGGATGATTTCCATAAACTATGTACGAAGTTTCTAACCATCACAATTCAGTACAAAACATTAAGTTACAAGCTGTGGGAACAGAAGGAGCACAATGGTGGCACCTTCCAACCCTGGTTGCTCTGGGGGTAGGGGGTGGGGAAGGTCTTTTTTTAAAACCAAGCCCCTCATTTCAATGTACAAAAGAATTACTCTGATTAATATTAAATTGTATTGAAAGAAAATGGACTAAAAAGCAAATGCTACCACTCTGTGTTGGGGTAGGCATGGGAAGAAAGAATGAGTCCTTCGAAGCAGGAGGGGAGGCAGGTGGAGGAAGGTGCTGTGGCTGTAATCCCAGGTGGTCACTCACGCTGCTCCTTTTTACTTTTGGTGGTCTCAAGAAGGTCCAATTTTTCTATTTTTTCTTCCCCTTTGTGTTTGCTTTCGAATTTCGTCAGCTATCCACACAACCATCTCGACTTTCCTCAAAGTTTTTCTGCCACTCCCTTTTGTGTTTGGTTTTTTCTTGAGCTTCAATCTCTTCTTCCTTTTGTCACTTCCTTTCATACGTCTCTTTGGCTTCTCTTTCTTTCCTTTTAATTTCCAGTTCTGCAAAGAGTTTCATGGTCTTTTGTACAAATGGGATAGTGTTGTTGTTAGGTGCCGTGGAGTTGGTTCCGATTCATAGCGACCCTATGTACGACAGAGCGAAACATTGCCCAATCCTGCACCATTCTCATGATCATTGTTATGCTTGAGCCCATTGTTTGCTTCTAAGGAGCATTCTGGCTGTACTTCTTCCAAGACAGATTTGTTCATTCTTTTTGCAGTGCATAATATATTCAGTAGTCTTTGCCAACACTGTAATTCAGAGGCGTCAATTCTTCTTCAGTCTTTCTTGTTCAATTGTCCAGCTTTCACATGCATATGAGGCGATTGAAAATACCATGGTTTGGGTCAGGCGCACCTTAGTCTTCAAGGTGACACCTTTGCTTTTTAACACTTTAAAGAGGTCTTTTGCGACACATTTGCACAATGCATTGCATTGTTTGATTTCTTGACTGCTGCATCCATGGGTGATGATTGTGGATCCCAGTACAATGAAGTCCTTGACTACTTCAACCTTTTCTCCGTTTATCAGGATGTCACTTATTGGTTCAGTTGTGAGGCTTTTTGTTTTCTTTATATTGGGGTGTAATCCATACTGAAGGCTGTGGTCTCTGATCTTCATCAGTAAGTACTTCAAGTCCTCTTCACTTTCAGCAAGCAAGGTTGTGTCATCTGCGTAAAGCAGGTTGTAAATAGGATAGACTGGACCCTAAAATCAGCCAGAACTGATGGTGCACGTTCTAGTGGAAGTCCTGGAGCTAATAGTCAAGAGATGCTGGAGTAAGAGATAAGATAATTTAGAAATTAGAGAGAATGATTGAAGCACTAAAATTGCTGGTGACTTTTCTGATGGGCTTTTTAAATCATAAAATAAAAAATAACTTTAGTCACACTTGCAAGGAAGGTAGCAGCACAGAACATAGCTAATTATGATATTTCCTGAGATAATTTTTTTTTTTGGAATTCATCATGAATGTGATTTTTGGCCCTGAGTTACCATTTCATAGGGCACTGGTGGTACAGTGGTTAAGCACCTGGCTGCTAACCAAAAGGCCAGTGGTTTGAACCCTGCAACCGCTCAACGAGAGAAGGATGTGGCAGTCTGCTTTTGTAATGATTTACAGCCTTGGAAACCCTATGGGGCAGTTAGTTTTATTCTGTCCTGTAGGGTTGCTATCAGTCGACATTGACTCGACGGCAGTGGGTGGGTTTTACCATTCTGAGTGTTTTATTTTGAAGGATCAGCTTCTCTGAGGACTTCTTATCTGGCAGTGGGAGGGTATAGTTTAGAACATGGTGTAGGCAGAGGAGACCAGACTGGGTTTTAAAATTTATTGTGAACACTCTCAGGCCAGTAATTAACACTGGTACTGCTACTAAGAGCCAGTCCTTTTGGATACTTAGTAAGAGGCAGGCATGGTCCTATGTGCTCTGCATAGATTATCTTATTTAATTCTCAAAAACTCTATGATGTAGATACTATTATTAACCCCATTTTTACAGACTGGGAAGCTGAAGCTTAGAAAGGTTAAGTAATTTGGAGGTCAAACAGCTAGAAATGGTAGAGTTTGCAGTACAGACTCAGATTTTTTCCTAACCTATATGTAATAGCATCTTGACGCATCTTTATCATTACATTATGACTATATTGATGCGTTATTTTAGAGCGTATAAGGTAAGAACTCTATTGCTTTTTTTGCCAATGCTTTGATTTTATACAGCAACAAAGTATTAAGGAATAAATAATAATGTGTTAAAAAAGATTAAACTTTGAATGTTTGTTGTTAAGGAACAGATACATTTTAGCGTTATCATAGGAGATTTGTCGGACCAGAATCCACTGTGTATTTTAAGTGTGGTGTCTCAGTTAATCCTAGCTATAACTTCTGAAGAAGGTAGCATAATTGAGAGCCTTGGCAGTTATTGTGGGTTGATATTGAACAGTTAAGTAGATGACATTTTCTGTATAGTTAGGTTGAATTCTAGGTAAATTCTCCTAATAAATTTCTGGCCATTGGTTTCCAATACATATGGAAAATTTATGGGAAAATCTTCCACTTGACATCTCCAGACATACAGGTTTGCTGCCTCAGAAACGTGGGCCCTGCCTTTCATCTGCCCATGTTTGCTCCTTGGGAGTGGGTCAGTACCAGGGCTGAGGCCACTTTAGATTTATCACATCGATAAATAGTGTTAACTTTTGGAAACCCTGGTGGCGTAGTGGTTAAGAGCTATGGCTGCTAACCAAAAGGTTGAGAGTTCGAATCCACCAGATGCTCCTTGGAAACCCTATGGGGCAGTTCTACCCTGTCCTATAGGGTCACCATGAGTCGGAATGGACTCGATGGCAGCAGGTTTGGTGTGGGTTTTCTCTGATGGTATATTATAAAAAGGTTTGTTCAAAGCATTTTGTTCAAAATAATAAGCTTGTGAAAACAGTGTTTTAATTTAAAATTGAGTCTTATAGAAATGGCCTGTTTGGAAAATGGCCTGTAGGGCCACAGGAATGTAAAGGAGTTTTGCGATCTAGGCTAGGGTCACCAAAAGGTTTTGTTGTCATGGCACATGAAGAAAAGGATGTATTTGCAAGCAGTAGGCCCTCAGGACCTTAGGCTGCCTCAGGACCACCTACCGCTGGGGTGGATGGGATCACAGTCTCCCACACACATTAGGAGCACACCAGCCCAGCCAGGACCACCAGGAGGGAAGCTCTCTGGATGGGATCTTTAAAACTAGTTGTTGCATTTCTGTAAAAATAGCTTTCTGGGAAACTTTGCTATTCTTTAAGTATTTGATTATGACAGTGTCTTGATGCGTGCTTATCTGAGGGGATTTCAATTTCTGCAGTTAATTCTGTAAAGAAAAATTGTTTTATAGTGATTCTATATTTATACCCTGTCCTAGGAGACCTGAGTCTTCCTACTTTACTGCAGAAGTGGATGTCTACTCATCTGTAGCATGATAGAATTCGAACGTTGCTTCTATGACTTTCATAACTGTGACTGCTTCATCTTGATGTACAGTCTTTGAGGAAATATTCTTTTTTGTTTGTTTTTTGATTTTATTGTGGTAAAATAAATGTAACACAAAATTTGCCATTTTAACCATTTTAAGTGTACAATTTAGTGATGTCAGTTACACTCTGTCTGTTGTGCAGCCATCACCACTATCTATTTCTAAATCTTTTATCACCCCAAACAGAAAGCTTAGTACCCATTAAGCAATAACTCCCCATTCTCCCCTCTCTCCAGCCCCTACCATCACTACCCATTGCCGCTGAGTTGATTCTGACTTACACCGACTCTATAGGACAGAGTAGAACCTGCACCATAGGGTTTCCAAGGAGCTGCTGGTGAATTCAAATTACTGACCTTTTGGTTAGCAGCCAAGCTCCAGCCCCTAGAAATCACTAATTTACTTTCTGTCTCTATGCATTTACCTATTCTAGATATTTTATATAAGGGAGATCATCCAATATTTTTCCTTTTGTGTCTGACTTATTTCACTTGATATAATGTTCTCAGTGTTCATCCATGTTGTAGTGATGAAATATTCTTCGAATGAACACTTGGGTGCTGATTTTTTTTTCCAACTGATTATATATCATCCGTCAAAATTAGCAAATTTTCTCCCAAATGATCACCATGGTTTTTAAAGAAATTGAGTATTCCTCTGTGTGATGGTCATAAACTATAACCTCTAAGAGACAATGAAAGGTAGGAGGGCTGTACTGTTGGTACAAAGACAGAAGATTCTTCAAAGCACCAATTGAGAGATGAAAGTGCTGGCCTAGAAACCAGTTACCTTTGTATTATGCCATGAAGGTAAAGGTGGATGAGAAGTAGAGCTAAGAGACACTGGATTATCTATTTTGAGTTTCATGGTTCTTTTTTCCCCTCTCACATCCTCTTGGATTTCTAGCTGAGAAGTTGAAACAAAGATTAGAAGACCTGGAGAAGGAGAAAAGCACCCTGCAGTTTCAGCTTCCTTCCCGGCAGCCAGAGCTCAGCAGCGTCCTGAACCAATTGGGAACGCAGGTTCAGGCTGCCTTGCTCTGGGCCACTCACAAGTAAGTACTGAGGTGACCACCGCTTTACACTCTTGCTTCTTCCTCTCTCACCAGCTCCCTTTTTGCAAAAAGCTGAGAGGGACTTAGCTGAAGAGGCCCTTAGCTGCTTTTTCCTGGAAAAGGGTCGCTTTGTTGCTTGGGCAGGCAGGGGTTCCTTCAAGAGTTGAGGAACCTGGTGTGGGTCATGCTCCCTCAAGAGGCCCTTTCTGCTAATTGACACTCAGCAGTGTCCAGGAGAGACCCTCTACAGGCCATGGCCATAGTCCGGGGATTAAGCTTGCTCTGGAGAGAAGGTGGGTGTGGATTTTCTCTTGTCAAGGGCAGCCTGGTCTCCTGTAATTGTGTTTTCAGCCTGTAAGATCCACAGACGGCCCCTTCTTGACGGAGGGATGAAAATATGTCCTCCTACTACTCTACCTTCTGCTCCTGAGCAACTTTCATTGTTTTTGCTGCTCCAGGGTGTCCTGGGATCACTCCCATAGAGAGAGGAATAGTTTATCTCTAGTCCAGTGGCTTCTGATCTTGGCTGCACATTTGAATCACCTGGTGAGCTTTTAAAACCATGGCTGCCCAGGCTCCACCCAGGGGATTCTCATGGGCAGCTGAAGCTGAGTACTGCTGCTCTAATCCACCTGCTTGTTACCATTCTCCTGCTGAAGGCTTGTGAGTGAGGGAAGAGATTTTTTTAGGAATGCTATTAGCCTACTCCCAGTTCAGGTCTACTCAGATATAAACATGGCTACAGCAGTTACATTGCATTTCTGACTTCCAGTCGGCCCTGACAATCACAGCATTTTCTGACCTGTTCCTATTAAGTGTACACATCATTATACCATCAGTTTATCTTGGTGCCCCCCTACAGCCTGAGCAACGAAGTCAATTGTTTTATTAGGTGCTTGCTTTTCAGTGTCGCTGGTAGAGTGCCTGGCAACTAGTGGGTGCCTCCTGATAAATGTTTGTTAAAAGGATGTTCACATGGGCCTCTTAAATATCGTGTGATTTCCACCTCCCCATTTCTCTTCTCATCTGACACTGAGATGTCACCTCAACTCCTCTTCCTTTCTCACATGAGGTCCTTCCCAACTTGACTTAATTCTTCTTTTTTGTCTTTGGGATTATTTCTTGTCCTCCACACCAGTCTTGGATCATTTTTAGCATCTATCAATTATTGTGTTTTTATTTATTTAACAGACACTTGCATAATAGTTTTAAGTGCTTAAAGAAGTAACTCATTTAATCTTTATGATAATTCCAGGGGGTAGTAGTATTTTACATTTCGACATCTATATCAATATAGATATTGATATCCACAGCTATATAATCTATAGCTATATCTATAACCAAAAGGTCAGCAGTTCGAATCCACCAGGCGCTCCTTGGAAACCCTATGGGAAGGTTCTACTCTGTCCTGTAGGGTTGCTATGAGTTGGAATTGACTCAACGGCAATGGGTTTTATACCTGTATCCATATATCTGTATCAATATTGATACCATCTATCTGTATATATTTATATTGATATCTATATTTAAAGATGAGACATTAAGGCCCAAGAGAGGGTAAGTGACTTCCCCAAACCACACTAAGTGAAGCCAGGATCTAAACCCAGGCTGTAAAGCTCCGGAGCCCATGGTCTGAACTAGCATGCTGTGAACTAGCACACCTGTTACCTGTCTAAGTCTGAGCTTGCAGAGGCTTTCTGTTAATGTCTATTTACCCGTACATGTGATTTGTATGGAAAGCAGTGCTTTTGTTATGATCTTGGCTGAATTTCTCCTAGAACATGATTAACCGAAATAAAGGCATTCTCACTCAATTATATTAAGTTAAACCATATGAAATTTCTTATATTTGACTGTTTGTGACCTATAAAAATAGCACTTCCATTTGGTTCAGCCTGATATGTTCCCCATAAAAATATAGCTCTTTATTAAACACTTATGAAGCCAATATAAACTACTGGCTTGCTTATTAGCTATTATTCTTTCTCCTTTTCCTCATGGGAGTTATCTGTACACTATGTTTTTATTTCCTATTCACTTTCTGAGACCAATATGATATGATTTCTATCTCACTCCCCAAATCTCTACCAAAGTCAACAATAATTTTCTATTTGTTAAATTTAAAAGACAGTTTTCAATTCTTCTACTCTATTTCACTGCAGTGTCTAGAACTTTTGACCAAATTTATTCTTAAAATCCTCTCTCCTTGGCTTTCGTGATTCCACTTTTTCCTGGTCTTCTTGACATTCTGACCATTCTTCTCAGTCCTATGAGCTCCTGTTCCTCTTCCTGTCTTCTTAATATTGATGTTCCTCTGTCTTCTGTTCTAGACTCCACTCTCTTCTCACTGTATGTACTCTTTCTGGGTGATCTCTAACACTCCTTTACTTAGGTACCATTTCTGTGCTAATTTTCCCCAAATTTACATCATTGGCCCTGATCTCTCTCCAGAGTTCCAACCCACAATCAGCGTTCTCTTGAACATCTCCCTTACCTAATCCATAGGCGCTCGTATGTCCAAAGCTAAATTTGCTGCCTTTCTCCCCAGGCAGCCCCTTCTCCTATATTCCCAATCTCAGTGAATTATACCACCTGATTACCCAAGCAAGAATCAGAGACATCTTTGGCTTTTCCCTTTTACTTACTCCCCACGTTCTTTGGTCATCAAGTCCTGTAGATTCTACTGTCTACCTCTCTCTCATTCCCACTCACTTCTCACCTGTAAGTCAAAGCCTTAGTTCTGGTCTTTAAAAATTATAATCCGCATCATTGCAATGGTCTCCTTATTGGTATTTCTGATGCCACTATTATGCCCTCTCACTCATGTTCCACAGTGTGACAGGATGGAAGGATCATGTCCTGCTCAGTGGCTCCCCGTTGTTTTCAGGATAAAGTCCATGCTGCTTAGCATGATGTTCAGAGCCTTCATGATCCAGCCCTTCCCAGCTGCCCAGAATTTAGCCATCACCGGCACGTTCTGTTCGACATTCAGAAGTATTAGAAGTTGCCTAGATGATCTGAATGTTTCTAATTTTAGATGATCTTGCCCAGGCCTCAAAAGTCCTGCTCCACTGGTGTTACCAAACTCGTCTTTATTCCTCAAGACTTAGCTAAGGCACCGTCCTTGCAATGCCTTGCCCATCAGTCACGCTGCTTCCCCTTGAATTACTGTAACCCCATGAATTACCGTGCCTCTGTTCCAACCGCCCATTTTAGCCTGTGATATTTGTCGTCAGTGGAGTTGATCTAGACTTCCCAAACCACACCAAGCCCGTTGCCATCGAGTCGATTCCGACTTCCATAGTGACCCTATAGGACAGAGTACAACTGCCCCGTAGGGTTTCCAAGGACCAGCTGGTGGATTCAAACTGCCAACCTTTTGGATAGCAGCCTGAACTCTTAACCATTGTGCCACCAGGGCTCTGATCTGGACTGCAGGCCTCCCCAATGAGCTGTTTCTCTGAGGCTGTTACTGCAGTTCTCACAGCAGCCACCAGGGGGACAGTGGTGCCCAGAGCCAGAACAGAAATGTTTCTCACCAGCAAGGGGCTCCCTCTGCTTCTGGAATGAAGTGTACATTTCCTGTAGAAATAAAATAGGTGTATTAACACAGAAATTTTTCAGTACCAATTAATAACACAAATAAGTACCTCTTAACCTTTTTGAGATCAAGTATTTTCTTTGAGAATCCATCACAAAACCACATATGTACATACATGCCAATTATTGCACGCAATTTCAGGAGACTCACAGATTCCCCGAGGCTTATCCATTCACTCTTTAGGGGCCTTTGGATCCCAGGTTAAGAAAATTTGGTTTAGGATAAGATTGAAGAAAATGTAAACACCAAGGTACAGTCAGGTACTTTTTTTTTACTGTCACTTTGTTCTTAGAAATCACTGTTGTTAATTCAGCCTTGTAAAAAGCACTGTTTAATTCTCTGAGCTCATGTAGAGAACCACCCTGAATCAACCACTCTTGAATAGCACTCTTCCATTTGTTCAGGTCCTACTAGCAGCCTAAAGAGTTTAGCTGATAGTGGATACCAGTACTCAAAGTATTTGGCCACTCAATGCCTCTCTTTTTTCACATTGCTCAGTAATGTAACTGGTTCATTGAGGTCTCTCCACTCAATGGGGATATAAACATAAAATGGTGCTATTTTTTCTCCAGTCTCCATTTTGCTCTGTTGAATCCACCTTTCCCATTTCTTTATGATATCTTGGACAGATTACACAAATTTCTGGTCATTTTCAGTTATTGATTTTCACGCAGTCCTGTCCAGTTTGAAACTCAAATTATATATCCCATTCAAAGCTTCCCCCATCCCCAGCTACACTTGTGACCTAAGGAACTTGGTCTGGGTTGTGGGGATGTTGTCCAGTCTTTTGATCCTGTCCCTCCCTCTTTCAAGGTGGTGGGGAGGGGAGTAACAAAGTCAGCATCTCTCAGCTCAGCCAGGTGTTGTAACCTCTCCTTGTTGGCCATCGCTGCTTCCCTGGCCAACAAAGGCATCTGCAACCTCTGTCTCCAATGTCTGCATGCTTACTCCTGTGGAGGACATGTGTGAGCTCTCCAGAGGGCATCAAGGGCTTCCTCATTGCCTGGATGTGACCTCAACTTCGTCTGTTCCACCTTAGCAACCACCACTTTCCATGTGATCATAGCTTCTTTCTGTGGAGGTCTCCTTGCCCAATGGTTGCACTTGTTGCGGGAGTACCAGCAAGATGGATCCAGCCCAGATAACGTTTGTTATGCCCACATGATCCATGAGAAACACACATAAACTTGGCACGCCAAAGGGTGGGCATTCAGTCTGCCCCATTACAGACCTCTCCCTCCGACTAAAGGAGCCCTGGTGGAGCAGTGGTAGTGCTTGGCTGCTAACCGAAGGGTCACTGGTTTGAACCCGTCAGCCACTCTGTGAGGGAAAGATGTGGTAGTCTGCTTTCATAAAGATTACATAGGAAACCCTATGGAGGCAGTTCTGCTCTGTCCTA